TATACATTTTTATTTCACTACGGTCATGAAATTATTGTTTGTGTAATTTTACTTCCTCCTTAATGTCACATTTAACGTTAACTTATCCTTTTTTCCATTTTTCATGTTCTGGTCAATGTGCTGTACATATTGCCTTTGCAGAACAAAATGTCAAATGGAATATAAATTTGACTCAGTTCATATTCAGTCAAGATAATAAAGTCATTTAATGTTTTATACATTAAATATTCATTATTTTTCTAACAGTTACACTATGAGAACAGCAGACAAAACATGTTACAAATTATGTGCTTAAAACCTAATAGAATTTTTTAACAGTTTAAGGCACACCTAATTTATTTGGCAACCAGGGTGAAAAGCTATGGTTTGTAATTACCTGTTAATACAAGGTATTACTTGATATTAATTACTTTATTGTTATTGATCTGATGGAATACAGTAGAACGTTTGACAACTTACTGTGGCTCCACTGGGTACCAGTGGATGCATACCCTTCTTCAAGGATTCTACAGTAGGATAATCCATTTAGCTATGCTTAGCTAAGCAGGGCCATGCAGTGCAACACTCTTTAGATGAGATGTTAAAAACTGAGTACATATTTTATTTGCTTATGATTTTTATTTCTTTATTATTAATAAATTGGGTATGCTCCATTTTGTTAGACATATAAGAACTGTTATAATTTACACATCATTGTCGCTGATTAAGTGGGTCTGTTTAAACAGAAAACGTGTTAGGCTGCTTTGACTGGTATCCTGTATAAACCAGTAGAACAGTGTGCCTGTGGGTGGTACTCAGTGGAACACACAAAAGTGTGCAATGAGAATCCATTGTTGTAAAGACCTGTCTCATTGCTTGCCAAGTGAAACCCATTGGTGCCGGCAATCACGGTGTTCAAAGTACAGAGATCAAGGTACTTATCAGCCAGCTGTGTTTCCTGATGAGAATATACTATTTCTATTGTGAATGGTTTTTAATCTTGATTTGTGCAAAAAAAATTCTTTGTTTAGTGAACACTATGGCAATGTGATTCTGTTTTACAGATCAGGTGAAGCCTTGAAACACCAATATGCAGCGCTGGGCTTCTGTTGGGTTACTTTCTGTGGAAGATCTAATTAGACCTTTAGTAAATATACCCTATTGATTTAAAAATGTATTATTTTTAGTGTGGTATGGACAATGTTTTGGTCAATTGAGCTCATTTTAGCATTTCTTTTTCACTATCTTTTACCTTTTATTTGTTAATTTTAAGTTTACTGTTAGTGTAAGGTATGTATACATGTACCAGTGCTCTCTGAGATTAGTGGGAGTTAGAGTCCTGGAATATTTCAACTACTGTCTTTAAAATGGCAACAGGTGTGCTTTAAATGGTAACTATAGGCAACAATAAAACTTTAGCTTCATGAAGCAAGTTTGGTGGATAAATCAATTCAATGTCAGTCATAAATAAGTAAGTACAATTTGGAACTCAAATCACGTTTGTTTCTGCTCAAGTCACACATCCCCTGGCTGTGATTCACACAGCCTGCATGCTTCTGTTTTTTTCCTTTTTCCTTTTCAATTAGATGTTAACTTAATTTTATCTCCTGCTCTGTATATTGAATTTTAATCACACATAGGACTCCCCTGCAGTGTCTAGAAGACTATAACAGTAGAAATAAGACATTCTAAATAAACCAAATGTGCAATAACAGAAGTTTAAACATTAGATTAGTGATGTCCCGAATGGTTCGCCTAACGGTTCGCCACGGACGGCGAACATATGCGCTGTTTTGAGTAAACTTTGACCCTGTTCCTCACAGTCAGCAGACACATTCCAGCCAATCAGCAGCAGACCCTCCCTCCCAGACCATCCCACCTCTTGGAAAGCATCCATTTTACATTCATTGTGAAGCTGCATTCTTAGTGAGCTGTCCAGGAGGTGGGAGGGAGGGTCTGCTGCTGATTGGCTGGAATGTGTCTGCTGACTGTGAGGTACAGGGTCAAAGTTTACTCAATGATGACATAGGGGGCAGACCGAACAGCGCATATGTTCGCCATCCGTGGCGAACCGTTCGGCACATCACTACATTAGATCTCTCTTTACAGGAAATGGTTAGGAAGGCTGTGTAATTAACATGCAGGGAGGCATGACTAGGACTCTATAAACAAAGCGATTTAACTCCTAAATGGCAGAGAATTGAGCAGTTAGACTGCAGGTGCATGGTCTATACACCAAAACTGCTTCATTAAGCTAATGTTGATTAGTTGTCTATAGTGTCCCTTTAACTCCCACTAGTCTCAGGCAGAGTATAAACCAAAAGTGAAGCTGAGGGAGAAGTGAACAAAAAATATGAAAATGAGCGTTTAGGTGAAGGATAGATTAGGGGCCACTCACATTAGCTGCCTTGTAATATTATGGCCATGGGCCCCAGTTTTTTATTATTAGAATTTGTATTAATAGAGAAATCATTGATTCTGTTTATGTCAATTGATTGACAGTGTCTATAGTATATACTGGGTAGTTTAGCAGTTACATTTATTTTGTGTCTCCCAGATGAGGCAGGTTTTAAGGGATAGTGGTAACCAGTAAACTTAGCATCAAAATTGGAAATCAACCTGTATCTAGCTGTTGCTGGCTCAAATTATACTTTATAGGATCTGTTAACATTAATATCCGCTGGTATTTACTAGTAGCTAATGAGGACAGCAGAGAAACAGTCTGTAGTGAGTCACAGCTGGTCAGTAATAAATTACAGACAATGGCTTTGATTTAATATTGTTGGATATTCATTTTAAATGTTTATCCAAATGTATTAAACATTTGGAAAGCTCATGTAACAATATTAAAATGATACAAACATTAGATATCATGCTTTACTGTCCAAATTCAAAACTCTTTCTGGTAAATTAATATTTGCCCTTTAGGTGTCACGGGTGGCGGTACGGAAACCGGGACCCCTGAGTGCCTGATGAGAAGTGGGAGTCTTCAGCGTGGTAATGGCTTATCAGGGCCTGGTGAAGGGTAACCGCACGCCCCCTTGTGTTGAGCAACAGCGTTTGTGCGGCCACATACCAGAACCCTGATGCAGTTACAGCGGATCCCAGGAACTAGGAGCTTGATATGCAGACCTCCCAGTAACTGGATAGGGGGGCTCTGAAGCAGACATGTATCCAGTACAGAAACAAGGCAAGGCTAGGATAGTCACCAAACATGAAAACAAGACAGAACTAATAGAACCCAGAACTAGAGCAGGACAGAAATCAGAACCCAGAACATGTACACAAGACATGAGGAAAACAAGAACAGGGCAGGGCAGGGCAGGACAGGACTGTACATGAACTGGGATTACAAAATAAAACAAGACAAGACAAGATATAATAGGCAAAACAAGAGGAGACATAACTAAGTACTATATATGAAAAGTATGGGGATTTAGTTACATTATATGATCAAACATTGCATAAGCCTGCCACAACACCAATGTACTCCATATTCGGCAAGTCCTACACTGCCTAATGTTCGCTAAAAGAACCATACTAATCCACAATAGCACTTACCTGCAAGAAAGGGCAGAGACTTGAAACACTGCTGCAGGTTCAAACTAAAACAAAAAGAAAATGGAAAACAAACGGGTGTGGCAACACAAATCAAACACACAAATGAATCCAGGAGACTGGGAATTCCAGGGACAGAATAATGGAATGAACACAGAAAACCCAGCATAAGGAAAACCAGACATGGAATAGAAAACCAGAAAAACCAAGAAAAACTAAGCAAGGATTGTAAAAGAGTACTGGATACCAGAAGCCAAAGTCAGACTGATCTGCAGAACATGCGATGATGTGACATTAGGTTGGTTCAGACCAGGGTTATAATCTTAGAATGTAAACATCTGGCTCGCTTACCGAACTTCTTGTTGGCAGCTCCTTTCCTTTGGAACAGCCTGCCTGCTCTCATCAAACTCTCCCATAGTCTTCAATCATTTATAAGTCCCTCAAAACCCATCTCTTCAGAATAGTCTATAGCAGGGGTGCCCACAAGGTAGATCCCCAGATGTTGTAGAACTACAACTCCCATGATGCTTTGCATGACTTCGGAATTCTTTAGAATGACAAAGCATTATGTAAGCTGTAGTTCTACAACATCTGGGGATCTACCTTTTTGGCAACTCTGGTCTATAACCTCTCAGTCTTACTTAGAAGATAGAAATTACACAATCAAAGATATAGATCACATGTTTGCCCCAACGGCAGACACAAATGGTAATAGAAGCTATATTGATACAGATAAAAGTAGAAGTAACCTAGAAAGAACCCTGATACGTGAAATGAAAATCAAATGGGAAATAACCACTCTCAAAAAATACGTTAAGGAACAGATTACACCCAGAGGGCTCAGATTTGAAAAAGATCCCACTTTTGATAAAGATGATTCTTGTTTTATGACAGGATGGAATAAGCTCCTCGAAGGATTTTCCTTCAGCATGATAGGATACATTGTATCTAGAAGAGAGGAAAATTTAATACAGATAGACGAGGAAATTATGTTATGGAAACAACAGCTTAGTGAGACAACTAATCCCGAAACGTTCAATCAGATAATAAGCGAAATTAAAATTAAAGTTGAAAAAGCAGAGAAAGACACTATTGAAATTTAAAAAAGGAAATATTTAAGGGACACCAACGATTATAAAACTGGTAACATAAGATTTCCTAAAAGATCTAACTCTTATGTAAAAAAACATAATCCCAGAAAAAAACATTGGTGCACCCAGGAAGAATTGGAATCAATATTCAATGATAGAAACTTCCATCATAGGTATACCTTAGAGTTAAAACCCTATAGAGAAGTACAAAGAAGGAGTACATACACTAAAGAACTACCTCAGACCACATATAGACATCCCTATAATAGGTATAGAAATCAAAATAGAAGCTACAGTGATGTAGTTAAACAAGGCCTACACAAATATGATAGAAAGTCCTGATATAAAGATAGCCCAAGTAGAACAAAGAGGATGTCCTCGTACAGACCAAAAGAAGGAAGAGAATACGAAAAAGAGAAGAGATATCCTCCCAAAAGAGAGAATCCAGATACAGGAAACATAGGCATAAATCATTCCAACCCCTGTTCTAAAACTTATCAAATTAAAGAACAAAGAAGAAATGAGGACAGCAAACACTATGATGATATAACAAGACCTACACGAATTAGGGAAAGAATACCAGAGGATCATCAAACTGCACAAGCACCTTCATCCTTGGTTTTTTGGAGGGAACCAATTCAAGAGAGACTCAAATGGCAAGAGAAACCTCCATCATGGGAATCCCCAGGCAAACGCCAGAGACCGATAGATTACGACACAGAAGAGGAAGAGATAAGAAACAAAGAAAAAAGAGGGAAGAAATAAATCCGGATGGAATTTTTAACCTCACGGACCACATCTTAACAAATGAAGAATTAAAAGTCTTAAAAAAAGGTCTAAAATTTGCGCCCACACAGGAATTGAAAAACTTTGAGTTATTCATTGATATGAATAAATTTTTACGAAAATTATGTTTCAAATTTTTTTTTTATCATGAGGGGGAAAACAAAATACAGATAAGACAAGACCAAGAAAATCAATCCAACTTTATACATACAGATTTAAAACAAAGGTCAAACTTTTTTCCTAAAAATATGATTTCAAATGAAATGAGAGCTTTTGAAACCACAGTTATGACAGAAATAAGTAAAATAAAAAAATTAAATAAATACCAAAACAATATGTCAACACAAGAACGAAACACTTTGAAAAAAATACAAAGAAATTATGATTTAGTAATTCTCTCCAAAGCACAATACCTGACAGAGTCAGAAAGAATTCTCTCTGATGAGAGCACTTATAAAAAACTAAAATCAGATCCAACTAAAAAAGTAAAAGACATATTTGACAAATATATACAAAAAGGTATGTAAAAAGGTATATTAACAAAAAAAGAAGGAGAATACTTATCAATTCCCCATCCAAAAATTCCAGTATTTTATTATCTTCCCAAGATTCATAAAGATTTGCAAAACCCCCCAGGACGCCCAATTATATCTGGGATAGACTCCATCTCTTCTAGAGTCTCTGAGTATATTGACCTACTGCTACAACCAATAGTAGTGAAAAATCCAGCGTATATAAAAGATACGATACACATATTACAACTCTTAAGTACCCTTGAATGGGAAGATAATTATCTATTGGTAATAAGTGATGTTACGTCACTATATAGCATAATTCCACATGAAGCAGTTCTAGAAGCAGTGAAACACTTTTTAACCAAAGCCAATTTTGAAATTGAACAAAGGGATTTTATATTGGAAGTTATTCACCTAATTTTAACTAACAATTTTTTTTTGGTTTCAAAATACATTTTACCTTCAGACCAGGGGTACAGCGATGGGCACCAAATTCGCACCCAGTTATGCTAATTTATTTATGGCATATTGGGAAGAGATTTTTGTGTTTTCAGAGCATCCCTGGGTGTCGAATTTGGTGACCTATCGATGATATATAGATGATATTTTTTTAATTTGGAACGGCACAATAGACCTTTTATACATGTTTTTAGCTTGTCTGTCAACCAATGAATGGGGAATTGTTTTTACCACCACACAAAGCCCCACTAGTATCAATTTTCTGGACCTTCAAATTTTTATTGAGAACCAGCAAATCAAAACCAAAAACTTCTTCAAACCAGTAGACGCCAACGGATACATAGAAAAAAAGAGTTGTCATCATAAACCCTGGTTAGAAAATGCCCCAAATGGTCAGTTTTTACGAATCTGACGAAATTGTACGAATGAACATGATTATATTAATCAAGCAAATATCATCAAGAAACAATTCCTAGAAAAAGGCTACGAAGAGGAAAAACTAATTGGAGCTATGAAAGAAATTCAAGATACTCCTAGAGAACAGCTATTAACTTATAAACAACATCACAAAAACTTAAATACAAAAGAAGACCATTTTCTATGTAATTTTAATGGGAATAATAAAAAAATTAATAGAATTATCAACAAACATTGGTACATGTTACAAAAAGATCAGATTCTAAACAATTTGCTACCAACAGAGGAGCAGCCAATCTAAAAAGATCCTTAATGCACAGTAGTGAGGGCCCAACTAAAAATATATAAAAAAATTTAAATCAGAGTAAAGGTTATTTTGGATACGGGACATGTCTAGCCTGTAGAACAACCAAAAACCCAAAAAGACATATAAAGAATCTTAATGAACATACAAAAATTGATTTTATTTTAAAAGAACAATTAACCTGCTTTTCAAAAGGAGTGATTTATTTATTGAAATGTCCCTGTAATTTATTGTATATAGGGAGAACCATTAGGAATTTAAATGTTAGGATATCTGAACATGTCCGAAACATTAAAAAAGGTCTTGAAACTCATAGTGTTTCCAATCATTTTAAATTTTATCATAATCTTAATCCAGAACACCTCTTCTTTTGCCCACTTAAAACGGTTAAAAAAGATTGGAGAGGTGGAGATTACAACAAAAAAATAGGCTCTGAAGAGATGAAATTCATTTTTAATTTTAATACTTTAATTCCCCATGGTCTTAACTCAGATTTTGAAATTTGTCATTTTATTTAATTTTTAAGGCCGAGTTTTAGTCCTATTTTTTAAAACATTCATTTTTAGTCCTTTTGCAAGTCTCCAAAATATTTAAATATTTTTATATTCTTATCCTTTTAAATTTGATAATATATATATATATTATATATTTCTTTTTACATTTCCCCTTATTTCTTTATTATTACATGTCTTTATTATTCTATGGGCTGTCACCTTTAATATGATATTATGTCACTGGCATGAACTCACTGTCACTTATATAGATTAATTATGTGAAAATAATTATTCACTCACCAAAGAATATGTATATTTTTATTTTGTGAATGTATAACACATTAGAGGTGGTGATATATTGAAAGAATTATATAGAGATGTTCAATAACCCAGAGACTAAATAAAATGCAGAGTTATTTACAGTGGAACGCATAGATCCGATTCTATGCGTTCCAGTGACATCATAGAGGCGTCCCACAGATCGAAACCGGAAGTGACGCACATGAAGATACCGGCGCAACGCCAGACCGGAAGTGACACGTAGGAAATCGGCGGTGGAACGCATGATGCGTTCCACACGCAGAAAACCCGGAAGTGAAGAAGATTACTGCTTTATAAGGACGCCAAGAAGCTGCCACCTGATATACAGACTGATACCAACTGAGGAAGCCCCCACCATAGGGCGAAACGCGTTTTGGACTTACACAGTCTACACATTGGACTTTTTAATTGGACTTATTGTCTATATTTTTAACTTTTATTGGGAATACTTATTTCCATATTTTTTAATATTCATTGTTTATCCACAATAAAGTTCCCTCATTGGAAATATATTGGAATATTGTGATCTCCTACCACCATTCAATTACCAAAGGAGGAATACCAAGAGGGATGGGGACATCCTAATAAGAGTCCCACTGCGCTGCACATAAGAGCCATATGTCTAAATTGGCTCTAGGCTTGTGAGTAATACTGCTCTATTTCCATTGATTACAGTGTATTTTGATATACTACACTATGATGCTTTATTTTGTCTTTTAGAATCTACAGATGTGTGTTCCACCTATTGTATGTATTATTTGTATTTCTATTCAAGTGGTAGAAGGGGTTTCCACTTAGGTGGCCAGTAGTTATTTTTAGCTACTACACACTTTTTTCTTACTGTATCTCTATTACCTTACATTTTTATAACCTCTCAGGGTACGTTATTTGACACACCTATCTCTCCCACTCTCTCTCTCTTAAAAGATGCAGATTACACTCTCAAATTCCACTTGTGCTACATTCCCTCCATGTTGCTTGGTTGCTATCCCCTATGCTGCCCTTCCTATTGTGTTTTTATACCCCACCTCCTCTAGATTGTAAGCTCATTCAATCATGGTCCTCATCAACCTATTGTTCCTGTACCAATTTTAATTGTCTCATGTATTGTTTAAAGTTTACTTAATAATCGTGTAAAACACTGTGGAGTAAGTTGCCAATTTCTTAATGCCAATAATAATAATGACTGCCATGACCCTGTCCTCTGCTGGCTAGCCTGTGTGGGACAATTGGCCCTGTGCCCATTTGCATTTCTTTACACATCTATTCCTACTTGGATAGTACCTGTTGGCTCCATCACCCTTTCTTAGTCTTTTTCTCTTGATCTTCCTGAAAACCGTTACCTGGCAATTTCATCATACTTTTCCTCATTCATAGAACTCACAGTCTCACAATGTTTGAAGATAAAATATAAATGTGTTCACTGTATTAAAGGGAATTGTTTGTGTAAGAAAATTTTAGCTTGTGCAATATCTATTCAGGATTTTAGTATTTTGATTATTTTTACTTAGCTTGAGGTCTATTAGACCAAAACTAAACATAAGTTTACTTTGTTTTTGTTACATGTACACATTGGGTTTAACCCCTTAAGGACACATGACATGTGTGACATGTCATGATTCCCTTTTATTTCAGAAGTTTGGTCCTTAAGGGGTTAAAGTGATTTCTGCTGTTACAGTGCAATCAACTTCATCTCAGAGCTATGCAGTTTGTAATGGTACAATGTATTTAAAAAATAAACACACAACTTTAAAAGCACCCAGAGTGAAAGGCAAAATACAGACAACAATCTGATGCAGACATTGGATGCTCTTTGACTACATTTGGGCTGCACTAGTAGGACCCTATAGCAAAGCTGCACTTTGTGAATGAATACTTTGGATTAGTTTACTGAAGAAGAATATATAGTTGAAGGTTTGCAAATCCCTGTTAAAAAAGCTTCTAAATAAGTAGGTCATTGATTAACACAGGATAACGTGCTAGAGCAATTAAATAAGGTGAGCAAAGCCCTCTATTCACCCATAAGTACTTCACCCATAAACGTAGTGTAGAGATATCAATATCACAGCTTTTAATCTTTCAGGAATCTTTTCTTTCAGGAATCATACCAGGGGATTGGAGAAATACAAATGTGGAGCTTATATTTAAAAATGCTGCACAAGCCCAACCTCTGAAACTACAGAAAGTGAAAGTGTTAAAGGCTAAAAGTGAAATAGAAAAGGTAGTAACAGCTTTCTAGTGGAAATGGTAGAGGCTAACAGTGAATGTTCACTGACAAGCCACAACATTAAAACCACCTGCTTAATATTGTGTAGGTGCTCTGAATGCTGCCAAAACAGCCATAATGCACGGACTTCACAAGACCTCTAAACATGTCCTGTGGGATCTGGCACTTAGACATTAGTTGCAGATCTTCTAAGTCCTGCAAATTGCGAGGTGGGAGCTCCATGAGTCAGATTTGGTGTTCCA